GAGCCCTTGCCCTCCCTCTCACCTCACCCCAGACCATCTGGACGACTTAGTCACCCCCGCCCTAGAAACCTTCCCAGTCTCCAGGAGCGTAAACACCTCGTGGGCAGGGCTGTCTTTCTGGCGTGCATGCCCAGCGGTTTAGCACAGTGCCTGGCCCATAGTAAGAGCCTGATAACTAACTGCTCTCTAGTTTAATCTAAAAGGAAGGGATGCCTGCAGTCATAAATCTAGGATGCTCTGCTAGCTGCCTTCACTCCAGCAGTCCAAAGGCCTGTCCCCCCTTTGATCTACTACTGCAGCTAAAAACTGGGTTATATAAAATATTAGGTTAAATTAAAAAAAAAACTATCAGGTTAAAAAAAGCCAAAGTTTTTTGTAACCCTTAACTTCAGTCCCCTGCCTTGGCTCATCCTGAGCTGCAGTGTTCTCCAAGTGATTTTTCCAGGCCTAGTCTGAAGATGACAGAGAAAGGAGACATCATCAAAGCACAAGGAACGCAACTCTGGTGGTCTGGGAAGGGGGCACGGAGCAAATGGACAGCTCTGTACTGTTGTTTGGGTAACATTTACATATATGTTGGTTTGTTTTTGTTTGAGTTTTTGTTTTTTCAGTCAAAAAGGAAACAGTTTGAATTTCAACTTCTCTCAGGAGCCATGACCCATTTGGCCTATCAGTGAAGGGGTCCTACATTCATGAGACAATGAGGGAGGGCTTGTTCCAGTTCCAGGAATGATTTTGCCCATTTACAGTTTTACTACGTTTTCAATTCAAAACCAACAAGCACTTATGAAGAGCCTACTGTGTACTGGGCCCTTCACAAGAGCCCTATGTGAGAGGTGGGGCAGGCATTATGACCCTATTTGCCCAAGGTCACAGAGCAAATGAATACCTGAACAAGACCTAGAAATCATCACCTAACACTATGAGACCTCAACCACTGAAAGAATGTCTCCAGTTGGCCCAGGGCCAAAAGAAGTGGATTTGAATAAAAGCTCACAACATAAAATGTTGCTCTTGTACCTGGCTGCACCACAGGGCAGGAGGGACTATCGCATTTTTTTATTCAACCATCTTTGCTCCTAAGGACACCATGATTACTGCACTGAGTAGGAAGAATGACATTTGTAGGCAAGTCTCATAAGTCTCTGTAATTCCCTAGAGCAGGAGGCACCTAACATCCCAGACTTCAGCCAAGTCACAAATGGAAGGCTGCTGAATGAGACTGAGAATGCAGCAGGCTTGGCGGCTAGACAGTGCCCACTCCTGGAAAAGAACTCGGGAATGATGTCTGAGGCTTCTGTGCCACAAGCAATGGGGAAGTGGACAATCACTGGCCCAGCTGCTACTCACTCTTTCCTGTAGTTCTTATAAATTGGTGGTGAGGTCATCGCTGAAGTCTGTTCCCATTTTAACATTCACTGTTAATAATAACTGGCATTTCTATAGTGACAGGCAGCTTGGTATGGTGGAGCAAGAGATGGCCTTAGAGTGCAAGTCCTAGCTGAAGAATCCTGGCTGTATAGGACCCTAGGCAAGTCATTTTACTTCTGAGGGGGATGGGAAGAAGAGAGAAAAATAGATGATTGACAGAGAGATAGGTAGACAGACTTAACAGGTCTTAAGCACTTCTGATACCCCCCTCAAAAGAAAACCCACTTCCAATGTACTCAGAAGTTAAGATGACTTCTCTGCCTCCCTCTCTCCCCCTACTAATTTTACATCTCCCCAAAAATGTCTTTAAAGTCTCCCTCCCTTCCCTTAGAAAGTAAGCTCCCAGAGGGCAGACACAGTCCTTTTTTTTTGTTTTTTTTGGCATTTTAATTTCCATGGTTGAGCAGCAAAAGATTTAATAATATGCTTTACCTCAAAGGACTTAAACCCTTTATCTAGTCTAACCTACTAAAGATAAGGCTGGGAACTTAAAAGCTGTGGAATGGGCAGCAAGTAGTAAGAGAGTGCTTACCCTCAAGCTTACAGTCCAATGGTTTAGGACAAAGATGGCCTCTGGCAAAGAGTATCAGCCTCAGTTCTGGACTGGAGAGCCACAGTGTAATTATTTAATAATAATCATGATAGCATTTATATTTATATTTAGGGCAGCTAAGTGGAGCAGTGGCAAGCCTGGAGTCAGGAAGACCCGAGTTCAAATCCAGCCTCAGACACTTTCTAGCTGTGTGACCATGTGCAACTCACTTAAACGCTGTCTGCCTCAGTTTCCTCAACGGTACAATGGGGATCATAATAGCACCTACCCCTCTGGCTTATTTTGAGGGTCAAATAAAATAATTATAAAGCGCTTAGCAAAGTGCCTGGCACATGGCTGGCGCTTAGTAAATGTTTGTGCCTTTTCCTTCCCCACCTAGAACTGGCGAGGGCCTTAAGTATCATCTAGCTTTCCCCACCACCACCAGGGGTCATCTGACAAGGGGGGAAACTGAGGCGCGGCCGGTGGCGCGGGGACTTGCCGATGCAGGTAGCCCAGGTGCAGGAGGTGCAGCAGAGCCAGACGGCGGCCCGGGTGCGGGCCCGGGTGCAGGTCGGCGGGGTCCCCGCGGTACCAGGTCCAGCTGAAGAGCTGCTGGGCGGTCGAGGCGAGGCCCAGCGCGGCCAGCTGCAGCGCGGCCCACAGCAGGTGGCCCTGCCGCGCGTACTGGCCCGCGGCCCATACGTCGGTGCCCAGGTCCAGCAAGAAGGCGCCCGTGCCGAACGCCGTCAGCAGCAGGTCGCGGAGCCGGCAGGCCCGGGGGGACCCAGGCATGGCCCCTCTTCCTCCCGCCCCCGCCGGTCCCACTCCGGCCCAGGGCTCTTGCCGGCCCGGTCAGTATGGGGCAGACAGGAATGAGGAGGGGATGTCCCGCCCCTTCCATCTCGTCCCCTCCTATCCCCGCGAAGCCCCTCCCCTTCTATCTTGTCCCCGCCTATCCATGCGACTCCCCGCCCCTTTCCATCCTCTTCCCGCCTATCCCGGCGATGGCGCGCCCCTTCCATCCCCGTCCCCTCCTATTCTCTACGTCATCCTTCTCTTCCTCCTCCCCTCCCCTTCTCTGCGGGGCCCGCCCCCTCCTTCCTTGTCCTTGAAAGAGCCCCGCCCCTTTCACATCCTCACGTCAGGGCGGGGTGGGGTAGGGAGAGGGCCCTCTCCTCGCCCCTGGGACCGCCTCCAAGGGGCGGGGGCGGGATCAGACATAATACACCTCCTCCCCCAGTGGGGCAGAGCCCCAGGGAAGCTCCTCCCTAGCCCTCCCCTCCTCAGCCCGGCCTTTAGACGTTTGTTTTTCAGGCTTCACGTGCCCTCTGGGGGAGTATCCCAACGGGGAGGTGGCTCAATTTCCCCCTCCTAGCGAAGGGCTGCTACCCCCCCACCCCATAATAGTGAAGTGAAAGGTGGAGGGTGTGAAATTAACCAAGTTCCAGGCCTCTGTTGGGTCGGGAGCCCTCCCTCCAAGCATCTGGCTCCTGGAGAGGCCAGTATAGGAATAGAACGAATGGAATAAATTCACAGACTCAAGCATTCTTTAAGTCAAGTTGGCAAAAAGTTTATTATTATGCTTTTCAGCAGGCAAGGATTCCTAAGGAAACTGCAACCTTAGAGAGGTACAGTTAAAGTTTACATAGGATAAAATACAATAAAACATCTGCCAAATATGCTAACTAGGTAATTCAGGGTGGGATTAAGTAGTGGTTAAGGAGTGGTCAGTTCTTAAAGGAACATGTACTTCTTGTACCTACTGCGCAGGCGTTTTACCCAGGGTTCACTGGGAAAAGCCCAGAAGGCGGGGCCATATGGAGGTGTGGTTTTAGGCCTGCTATGTCACTAAGTTAACTAGAGTTCAGGGGTAACTGAGAGTTGTCCAGTCTGCCACCAGTCAATGTCTTGTTTGACAAGACAGATGTAGGGAGTATACATATGTCTTAAGTCTAGAATACGGATAATGAGGAGACCAAGATGTAGATAATGACGTAGGGCGGCAGTATAGATAGTTCAGTGGGTAAGAATATCTTTATGACCCCGTGCAAAGCCAGTTTAAACTAATAATTCCTTCAGGTGCTGTTTGTAACTGCACCAGGGAAAGAGATAAGGGTCTTGCTGGGACCCACTCATGAGTAATTGCTAGGCACAGTGTTCTTGGGCTGAGGAGAAACTTCCAGGGACAGTGTTTCTGAGGCTAGGGAGAAACTGGGGTCCAAGTATAAGCACCCAAACGCAAGCACTCAAACACCCCATCAGAGGGATCATAATCATTGGCCCCAGGGGCAATGGTAGCCTGTGCTACAGGACCTGAAGGGACCTTAGGGGTCATTTAGAACAGATTAAAGTGAAACTGGGGAATATTTAACAAATAAATAAAGACACCACTGCACTTTAAAACTAAGCCAATGTCTGGCCAGCACCCTGGGAGCCTTACGTATGCATCAGTGACTCCCCTCGTACTGGAGCTCGACACCACAAGTCCAAGCCTCTCTTTCTTCTTCATCTGAAAATGATTTTTTTTTAAGAGGGTGGTGGTTCTGGGAAGGGGAATCGGGAAAGGCTACTGTCAACAAGCATTTATTGAGCACCTACTATGTGCCAGGCGACGTACTAAGCACTGGGCATACCAAGGTAAAAGTCAGTCCCCGCTCTCAAAGAGCTCGGTCTAATGGGAGGACGACTATGTCCAAACAAGATACACATAGGATACGCTGCAAATAGTCACCTAGGATTGAGGGAAATCAGGGAAGTCGCCTCACAGAAATGCAGTTTTAGCTGAGATTTGAAGGAAGCCAGGGAAACCAGGAAGTGGAGATGAGGAAGAAGAGGAGCGAGAGTATTCCAGGCACAGGAATGGTCAGGGCAGAGGCCTGGAGTCTGGAGATGGAGAGGGAGGGTCTTGGCAGCTATATAGAGCTAGAAAGAATGCAGTCAGGAGGACCTGAATTCTAACCAACCTGACACTTACTAGCTGTGTGAGCCTGGGCAGGTTCACTTAATTTCTATCTGCCTTGGTTTCCTCATCTGTCAAATGGGGATAATGATAGCACCTACCGCCCAGGGTGCTTGTGAGGAGCAAATGAAATAACATTTGTAAAGTGCTAGCACAGTAGAAGCTTACACGGTAGGGATAGGAGCTTAATAAATTCTAGTTTCCTTCTGGCACTCTCCCTGAAAGGCAGATTACTTAGAGCGGGAAGATTGGGAAGGTGGGAGGGGCCAGCTGTGAAGGGCTTTCTCAGTCCACTGCTCTTTCCACATGTATCCGTTTGACTCCACGGCAGCCCAGAAGGTTTGGGCTTCAGAATCTCTGTGCCTGTTCTGGGCCCTCTCTCCCCACAATGCTTCTCTCCTGCTGGGGTGTCAGGGCTCCGATCAAGTGAAGCCCCATCATCAGGCAGAGGAGGAGCAGGGACCCCGACAGCCCACAAGGGGAGCTGGCCGACTCAATACACCTTTCATAGTTTGCAAAGTCCACCTCCCTCACCGCACACAGGTGCTCTAGCCGGCAGCCCTGGTCACAAGGGTCCAAGTCATAACTGACGGAGTTGTACTGGTAGTATCTCTGCAGGGCACGGTTATCCTGCGTAATCTGGTCCAGCACCTGCTGCATGGAGGCTGCTGAGCCATCCTGGGCCTGGAAGGCTTCGGTCAGTTGATACTCCTTCTCCCACCTTGGGGCATGCAGGTTGGCGTGGGTGAGGTTTAAATAATATGTGACCATGTCCTGAAGGGGCAAGAAGAGCGGCAGAAGTCAGCTCTGATCTAGCCACACACTTTCAGCTCCCTCCTCCTCCATCTCCTCTCCTTCATCCTCCTCCTCCTCTTCATCCTCATCTCTCTCCTCCTCCTGCCTCAAATGCCTGTGGCACTTAATGTATATTACCTAATGCTGAAAGGCTCAACTGTGATATAATAATAATAGCTAACGTGTATTTAGTGCTTGCTATGTGCCAGTCACCATGCTAAGTGCTTTACAAATATCATCTCGTATAATCTTCACACAACAACCCAGGGGGTAGGTGCTATTATTATCCCCATTTCACAGATGAGAATGAGGCAGACGGAGGTTCAGTGACTTACCTGGGGTCACCCAGATGATGGAAAGTCTCCTCAGTCTGGACCTTCCCTCCTTTCAAGGGTGCAGATCACAACCCAATGTGAGTGGCTTTTTGTCCTCCCCCCTGGTAATGCCCAGGGTGGCCTGGCCACCTAGGACCAGCCAGGCCCAGTTCACCTCCGGGGCCCTAACAGGCTGCATGCCTCTCTGGTGTTCTCCCTTTCATGTGTCCCATTACAGTGTAAGCTTCCTGAGGGCAGAGACTGGCTTTCTTCTCTGTTCATCTTTGTTTCCACAGCTCTTACACTGTGCAGGGACACAGTGAGTACAGTTGCCCAGGCTGCAGGCCATGGAGTCCCACTCTGCTCCTCACTCTCACCCCCCACTCCCTTATCCAATCAGTGGTAAAGTCCTGTCATTTCCACATTCCTCTCTCCTACAAACCCCCTTCTCTACTCTGTCCCTGCCACCGCCAGGTCCAGGCCTTGCCCCTTCCTGTCTGGGCTAACCCCACTGAAGCCATCCTCCACTTGGCCATCAAACTGATCTTTCTAAAACACAGATCTGACCACGTCAATAAGCTCCAGGGTCTCCCTATTACTCCAGGATCAAATAGAAAACCCTTTTTTGGCTTTTAAAGCCCTTCATAGCCTGCTCCCTCCCTACCTTAACCCCAGGTTCACAGATCTGGGGGGAAGGGGAGAAGCATCTATTAACTACCTACTAGGTTCCAGGCACCAGTGCTAAGCATTTTATAAACAATCACATTCTCACAACATCCCTGGGAGGGAGAAGTTATTATTATCTTCATCTTGAGGAAACTGAGGCAAATGTAGGTTAATTGTCTTGCTTGGGGTCACACAGTTGGGCAGGTGCTAAAATCAGGTCTTCCCAATTCCAGTGCTCTAACCACTGGACCACCTCTGGAACCAAGAGTGTCAAAGCGGGAGGGGACCTCAGAAGCCAGTAGGTCTTCATTTTGGAGTGGAGGATGGTGAGGCCAGAAGCAGAAAAGTGACTCACAATCAGACAGCTAATAAACGGCACTTATTATTAGAACTCTCCTCATTAATAGTATTATTACTCAAACCCAGGCTTTTGGGCCCCAAGTCCAAGACTTGCTCTTTCCACTTGTGGAAACGTTAAAAAGCTGGTTCTTTGTTTCTTTAGAATTATTAAGAAATTCTTTTGGGGGCAGCTAGAGGATAAAGCACCAGCTCTGAAGTCAGGAGGACCCAAGTTCTAATTTGGCCTCAGGACCAGACATTTGACACTACTAGCTGTGTGACCCTGGGCAAGTCACTAAATCCCAATTGCCTTACCTGAAAAAAAAAAAAAGAAAAGAAAAAAAATTATTTTCATAATCCTCAGAAAAGCCCCTTGGAAAGGTGGGTGAGAAATGGGTGAGAAAAAGGCTTGTCTTAAGGAGATAGTTTAACCAGTCCATTGCCTCCCCACCCCTAGGAAATGGCTCTAGCAGCCACCAGTCTCTTAAACGATTAAGATATTGATAAAAGAAAGTCTTTCCCTTTGTTTACTTTCTAGATGCTGGTGGCTCTATTCTATGTACTCATAGAATGCTGGGTCTAGAGTCAGAAAGATTTGGGTTCAAATCCAGCCTGAGATACTTATTATCTGTGTGACCCTGAGCAAGTCATTTGTCTGCCTCTAACCTTTGTTTACCTCAGTTTCCTCAACTGCAAAATGGAGGTAATAACAGCACCTATTACCCTGCAGGGTTTTTGTGAGAGTCAAATGAGATATTTGCAAAGCATTTCTCACAGTTCCTGGCATACAGCTTTTTTTTCCAGTTGTGTCCGACTCTCAGTGACCCTGATGGGATGCTTGGGTCCTTATGTTTGGGTGCTTGTACTTGGACCCCAATTTCTCCCTAGCCTCAGAAACACTATCCCTGACAGTTTCTCCCCAGCCCAAGGACACTGTGCCTAGCAATTACTCATGAGTGGGCCCCAGTAAGACCCTTATCTCTCTCCCTGGTGCAGTTCCAAACAGCACCTGAAGGAAGTATTAATTTGAACTGGCTTTGCACTGGGTCATGAAGACATTTTTACCCACTGAATCATCTATACTGCCGCCCTACCTCATTATCTATATCCTGGATTCCTCATTATTTGTATCGTAGACTTAAGACATATGTATATTCTCTACATCTATCTTGTCAAACAAGACATTGACTGGTGGCAGACCGGACAACTCTCAGTTGTCCCTGACAGCTAGTTAACTTAGTGACATAGCAGGCCTAAAACCACACCTCCATGTGCCCGCCCCCCCCCCCACTTGTGGGCTTTTCCCAGTGAACTCTGGGTAAAACACCTGCACAGTAGATACAAGTGCAAAATGAACCCACCGCTCCTTAACCACTCCCTAATCCTGCCCTGAATCACCTAGTTAGCATATTTGACACGTCTTATCATATCTTACACTATACAAACTTTAACTATACTCTTTTAAGATTGCAATTTCCTTAGGAATCCTTGCCCACTGAAAAGCGTAACAATAAACTTTTTGCAACTTGACTTAAAAGATTGCTTGAGCTTGTGAATTCATTCCAGACGACCCATCTTGTACTTTGGTTTTTGAGGGGTCCCAACCTCTCAGCCCTCATCAACCCCATTTGGGCTTTTCTTGGCAAAGATATGGGAGCAGTTTGCCATCTCCTTTCCAGCTCATTTTACAGATAAAGAAACTGAGGCAAACAAAATTAAGTGACTTGCCCGGGGTCACACAGCTAGCAAGTGTCTGAGGCTGGATTTAAACCCGAGTCTTCCTGACTCAGGCCCCAGAATGCTCAATCTGGAGGGGAAGAGCCTCAGGGTTTCTGGCCAAAACAGAAACAATTGCTATTTACATTCACTCTGAACCAACCAGGGCCCAACAGCAATCAAGTGGGACTTGGCCTATTACCCACTGCTGACTAGGTAAAAGAGGCCAATCTCTGCCTCAATTCTTACCTGGCCTTAATCACTGAATGGGCATTGTCTCAGGCAAACTGAGACCCAGGAAAGACCTTGCTTAAGAAGGCCAAGTTCTCCCACTGCATCCAGGGCCATCCCTGGTCACCCTGACCTATATCTTGCCACTGGACCCAGACGGCTCCAGAGGAGAGAGTGAGACTGGTGACATTGCACTTAAATCCTCCCTCACTTCAATCCAATTCACTTGCCCTTAAGTCATGGTCCTCTTCTAGAATGAAGGACGAGCAACAACAATAACCCAGAACGCTGTCCACTGAGGCCCTACGGACCTCAACACTAAGAGGCACATCACCAAAATATTGGCCAAATACTGTGGATTAAGTGTTTTGGCTTCAACAACTTGCGAACCCATCTGCTAAGACATCGGGGTGGGGGGAGCTGTGACTTGTGGGAATGGAGAACCAAGCCCTCCCAATAAAGTCAATGAAGGCTGCTGTGCTCCTCCCTCCAATCCTTCCTGCCATTTGTGACCAGGGAGCCCTCCTCAAGGGACCTCCAGCTATGTCTCCAGCCCTTTGCCCTGCTTCTCAAACAGGATCCCCAATATCGAAGCTAGATAGTCAACCAGCTGGGGCACCATCAGAAGGGCTGAGGGCCTGTACCAAGTGATGGCTCTGTGAAAGGATCAAAGCGGATAGATGACAGATGCTGTCTGTGGTGGAGAAAACAATATTTTGTAACTCATTCGCTGTGTGGGGTGAATGTGTGTGGCCTTCAGGGGCCGCCTATTGCCTCTAAAATAAAACTCCTCAGACTTCTCAGTTTGGGATTGAAAGCCCTTCACCTCCAGCTCCCACCTCCTTCCCAGATTCATTATGCATTATTCTCTTTCATGCAATCTATATCGCAGCCCAACTGACCTACCTGCTGTTCCCAGAACGTAGTGTCCTAACCCTGGTGTGGGTGCCTCCTCACAAGCTGTCTCCCTCCTCACCTCTGCCATTTAAAGTCCCAGGGTCAAGGTTCAGCCAGTGCACCACCTCCTGTGGAAAGCCTTCCCATGCCCCCAGTCCTGAGGGTCCTCGTTCCCCTCCTCCAGTGCTCTGAGGTTTGCGTGTTTACATGTTGCCTCCCCATGGTAGAAGGGAAGCTCCAGGAAGGCAGGGGCTGTTTTTCGCTATTGTCTTTGCATCCCCAGCACTGAGCACACAGCTGGCTGTGCCATTACACACACACACACACACACACACACACACACACCACACACACACACACACATATAGAGCAGAATTGCACTGAATTACGTTAAATTGGATGAGGTCACGCTTGTGTATACCTGAAGTTGTAGGGTATCTCGATCATAGTACCAGACTCGGATCCCAGGATTATTGGCTCCGTTGTTCACCCCAGGAAGCGTTGTCTTCCAGGGACTCACCCCCGGAACTAGAAACATGACGCTGATGGGGTCACCTTTACAGAAGAAGGCAGAGATGAGCCGAGTTCAGATTTCTGACATTCACATTCAAAGACATCTAAAATCTAGCCCCACTCTACTTCCCTTTTCAAAAAAAATTTTTTTCTATTAATCAAAATCTGTTTTCTCTGCCGCCCTTTTCTTCCAGCCCAATGTCATGGTGTTCCTCTCTAGATGCTCTAAACTACAGCCAGCCTGAACTCCCCGTGACCCCATCTATAGCTTAGCTTCTATTATTCCCAATGATGCTGCTGCCCTCTTCCACTCTCCTCCTGTTGAACTTCCTCATCCTTTAAAACCTTCTTCAAATGACAACCTCCTTCAGCAGATATGCCTTATTCTCCCCTACCTGATTGCATCCTCCCTGAGGGCAGGCCCAAATCTTATCTGATCCATGGATCTTCCCTATCACCCAGCATGGTGCTGCACAAATTTGTTGTGCCTTGATTTGTTGACATAATTTATGGAACTGAAATGTAGGTGGCTCCTGAGTCCTAAGGGCAGCTGGGTTTTGCAGAGGACAGTCTCCATCCTGGAGTCAGGAGGACCTGAGTTCAAATCCAGCCTCAGATACTTACTAGCTATGTGACACTGGACTAGACACTTCACCCTGTTTGCCTCAATTCCTCATCTGTATGATGAGCTGGAGAAGGAAATGACAAACTACTCCAGTATCTTTGCCAAGAAAACCCTAAATAGGGGCACAAATAGTTGGACATGACTGAAATGATTGAACATTGAACAGAGACCTGCAAGCAATAATTCCCCGGTCAAAGAAATCCCTGCAGATTGGAAAGGCAGGCTATTTGGAAAAGGGAGAAGACGTAGCTTAAAGCCACCTTGGAGGACAGGACACCTGCCTGTGTCGTCATAAAACATCCGGAAGCTGTCAGTGTGGTGGTGACCAAAAAACTGCCCGGCAATCACGTGATGATACTTCCTGATGATTTCCACGTAGCGTTGATTGAAGCTGGGCCGGAACCAGGCTTTGTTTCGGGTCTTCTCAAAGAAGCCAGGGGGCAGGTGGCCAGTGACATACACCTGACAAAGGAAAGGGTTCAGGCTCTCCAGTGTGCCAAAGGGGAAGACTCCTGTCCGCATCCCGTCCATGTCTGCCTGCTGAAGTCCTGGGCCTCTTGTAAGGCCACAAAGCAGGATGGGCTTCCTCATCCTTGGAGGGCTTCACGTGGAGCCTGGAGGATCACTTCCTGGGGATGGTGTAGACTAGAGTGCTCTCCAGCTATGGGTTGGACCAGAAGTCCGTCCCTTCCACTTTTGAGACTCTGGGAAGGATGGCAGTAACTTGGGGCAGCTTGGTGGAGCACTAGAAAGAGCATTAGACCTGGAATCAGGAGGACTTGAGTTCCAATCTGACCTCAGACACTTACTAGCTGTGTGACTTTTAACTGGTTTTCCTCAGTTGTTCCTCAGTAAAATGGGTTGTTAGTGCATGGCACACAGTAGGCACTACATAAAGGCTTATTTCCTACTCCTCCCCTTCAGGAAGCCCAACCTGAAGACATCTCTCCCTCTTCTGAATCTGCCCTTTAGTGGGCAGGGACCACTACATACCTGTCTTATTATCTAGGTGTGGACGCCTGGCCATGTGACCTGAGGATTTAGAGGGCTTCATCATCATAACATCCTGCTCACCACCAGAGCCATCTTTTTTACATATCAAAGTTCTTCATACATGTTAGCTCATTTGATCCTCACAACGACCCTTGGGAGGTAGATGCTATTATTATCCCATTTTAAAGATGAGGAAACTGAGGCTGAAAGACTGGTCCAGGGTCACAGAGTTTATAAGTGTCTGAGGTATGATTTGAACTCGGGGCTTCCCAATTCCAGTTTCTGCATTCTACCTGTTGAGGTCTAGAGGTTTAGGGGTGCTGGGACCCCAAAATATCGAGAGCAAGAAACACAGGTCCTGCCCGAAAGAATTTGACCCAAGCCTTCTTTCATCCAGAGATAGGTTTATTAAAGATCCGCCATATTGGCCAGACTCTTAAGGAGTCCCAACATGTGTGAGCTGTTGGCTAGGTTCTTAAGGAATCTGAGCATCTTAATGGAGGTAAGATGGACTTTATATACAGAAAGACTGTGGGAGGCATGTAGGAGTGGAGAAATGGTCGGGGCGGGGGCGGGGGATGGGACTGTGAGAACTCCAGGGACCTGGACCATGTGGCCAAGAGACAGCATTAAGGGTGGGAAGTGGCCATAGGGAGGTAAGACAATGGAGGGCTGGGAACCAAGAATTAGGAGGCTGGGTGTAGGAAAGGCCAGTTGATGGGATTATACCTTCAGAGGCTTCCTTGATCAAGTAAGAGAATTCAAGGACAGTCCAAAGGTTTTCTAGGGCCTGTGGACAAATGGGTCCCAAATTCTTTTTTAGGGTAAGGGGCAAAGGTCTCAGCTTGGACCCATATCCTATCATACCCACTGCACCACCTACTTATCTAAAATGCCACAGTGGCTAAAAAAAAAAAATCAATGTGGACTGAGGCAGCATTAAGAGGAGGACATTGTCCAGAATGAGGGAGGTGACTCTTTCACCTGCACTCTGCCCCAGTCCAGCAACATCTAGAACACTGTGTTCAGTTCTAGGCACCACATTTTAGGAAAAACATGAAGACATTGAGCCCATTTAGAGGGGGGACTCAGGGGGACAAGGGGACTCCAAACCAGGCCATGGGAAGATCCACTGAAAAAACTGGGGCTACTTAGTCTGGAGAAGAAAAAATTGGGGAGGGGGGATAATTATTATCTCCAAGTAAAGAAGGGCTATTAGAAAGAAGAGAAATTTGATTTGTAGAGAGATATGTATATATACATACACAGACATATATATATACATACATATATGAAAATCCAATTAACCCATCTACAAGCACTTATTAAGCACTTTCTATATACTAGGCACCGTGCTAGGTGTTGGAAATCAGATTTAACAAATGGAAAAAGGTTCCTAAGAATTAGAACTGTCCATAAATGGAATGAACCACCTTCAGTGGAGGTCTTCAAGTAAAAATGATGACCAAGCCTTGGGAATGATAGAGATTCCTATTAAGGTAAGGGTTGGACCCTTCCCTTACCATTGAGATTCTACTAACTGATAATAATCATTTATATAGCCCTTTAAATTCACAAGGTACTTTCAAGTATGTTATCTCTTCTGAGCCTCCCAACAATCCTGGGAGGTTGGTGCTATTGTTATCCCCATTTTATTTATTTATTTTAGGCAATTGGGGTTAAATGACTTGCCCAGGATCACACAGCTAGTAAGTGTCAAGTGTCTGGTCTGAGGCCGGATTTGAACTCAGGTCCTCCTGACTTCAAGGCCAGTGCTCTATCCACTGCACCACCTAGCTTCCCCATTATCCCCATTTTACAGATGAAGAAACTGAGGCTGAAAAGTATTAAATGACTTGGCCAGGGTCACACAACTAGTAATGTTCAAGGCAGAAATCGAACTCAGGCCTTCCTGACTCCAGGCCCGGCACTCTGCCTACTACACCACCTGGCTTACCTCTGCATCTTCCCCAGGAGCACAGAGCCTTGCAGGGAACAGGTCCTCAGTAAATGTTTACTGAATGAAGGAGAGGTCAGGAGGAGGGAAGGAGGCCAGGGCTGTAGGCGGCCACCTTCAGAAGGAGGAGAAGGAAAGCCATTTACTTACCTTCTCTCCCTCTCTGGAGGCATTGTTCAGCACATCGTCCAGCCACCGAAGCTGGCTTGCCGGGTCATCGAGGCCAGCCGTCTGCTCATTGCTGGTATAATACAGATTGGTGTTGAGGACCACGATGCGTCCAGTCTGGTTTGGACCAGGCAGCCTCTCCGTATAGAAGGCCCCTGGGGTGACATCCAGAGAGAGGGCTGAACACAAGGTGTGCGTGTGCTCCTGCTGACACGCATCCCGAGGCCTACACTCCCCCACCTTTTCCTTCAGCTCTAAGTGGAAACAGAGCAGGATGCCTGGGAGTCAGGAGCCCGGAGACGCAGAGTCAGCAGAGCTGGGTTGGAGACCAGGCTCTTCCCTTAACTGTCTGTGCGACCCTAGGCCGGGCTCTGCCTTTCTTCTGGCTCAGTTTCCTCCTCTAGAGGATGACTGCTCAGACTAGAGTGATCTCTCAGGCCTTCCAGTGCCAACCTTCTAACTACCTAAAGAACATGCAGACTTGGTCAGGCTTTGCCCTTTTCTCCATCTTCCTTTGCCTCATCCCTTCCCAGGGACCACAGGACTTCTGTTCCCTCCTGTATCCCCAGCAGCAGCTGAGCTCTCCTTATTGTCACATTGTCATATGGGACATCTTGTGCTGCTTATTGATATTAACAGTCTTCTGGGAAGGTGACCTTCCACTGGGCTCCCTGGAAACGGAGCTGAAGTGCTGCCTATCAAAGATGCTGCAACGCTTTTCTGCCTGGGGATGAAGAAGTAAAAAAAAATCTCAACTTGAGCCTCTTTGCCCCCAAAAATCTGCTTTGGATTTGGAACTATGCCCAAAGGGCTATAAAATTGTGCATACCCTTTGATCCAGCAATACCACTACTAGGTCTGTATCCCAAAGAGATCATAAAAAAGGGGAAAGGACCCACATGTACAAAAATATTCATAGCAACTCTTTCTGTGGTGGCCAAGAATTGGAAATTGAGGGGATGCCCATCAGTTGGGGAATGGCTGAACAAGTTGTGGTATATGAATGTAATGGAATGCTATTGTGCTATAAGAAATGATGAGCAGGAGGAGTTCAGAAAAACCTGGAAAGACTTGTATGGTCTGATGCTGAGTGAAGTGAGCAGAACCAAGAGAACATTGTACACAGTAACAGCCACCTTGTGCGATGACTAACTTTGATAGACTTAGCTCTCAGCAATGCAAAGATCTAAGACCCGTGATGGAACATGCTATCCACATCCAGAGAAAGAACTACAGAGTCTAAATGCAGATCAAAGCATACTATTTTCTCTCTCTCTTTTTTCTTTCTTGTGGTTTTTCCCTTTTGTTCTTATTTTTCTTTCACAACATGACTAATGTGGAAATATGTTTACTTTGTACATGTATAGCCTATATCAGATTGCATGTTATCTTAGAGAGGGGGAAAAAGAAGAGGAGAAAAAAAATTTGGAACTCAAAATCTTGTAAAAGTGAGTGCTGAAAACTATCTTTGCATATAACTGGAAAAAAATATAATACTATTAAGTTGGGGGAAATCTGCTTTGGATCCAAGAAAATAGCCCTCAGATTAGGGAGCCAGATGTGTTTTCTGGCTTTTAAGTGGGGGTGAAGAGACAAAGGGTAAATAACAAGGTATCTTGGGCACTGGTTCCTGGTCTTCAGGTCTAGACTCAATGAACTTTAGTATCAATGAGATTTTACAGAATAGTCTCAAATAATCCTCTGGAAAGGCTCAAAAAGTATACCTGGCCTGGGTACTTCCTAAGCAATATGCAGGACAGGTAAAGGTTCTGATGATCCGGATGCACCCTTCTCTCCCCTGGTCTGACTCTCCCTCTCATCTTCCCCTCTCCATCCCTGCCTTCTGGGGGCAAAGCTCAAACCCAAGCTGGAGGGGTTGGGATGACTGGGTGGCTGCTGCCTACAGGGATCCCCAGCAACTTCCCACTGCTGCTGCCATCTAGTGGTATTAACTGGGTTTATTATTTTGTTTTGTTTTGTTTTTAAACTGTTTTCAAGTCATTATGATAGTAAAATGTGTATGTACATGAACCAAAGAAAGCATTTTTCCGAAATTTGGAATAAGACTGCAACCCAAATACAAGGTTTGGTGATTAGATTGCTGGAATCCTAATAAAGCTGCCTGCAGCCCCAACATTCTAACTTCCTTAGGGGCCCCACTGGACAGTAGGCATGTCCTGATTTGACCACAAAATCTAGCTTTGACTGCACCACTGCCCGCAGACTCAATATAGCCACTGCCCCAGATCCAATTCTGAACAGGTGTGTCCTCGTACTCAACCACAATCACATCATTCATTTAGCTCAAGACAGGACCACAATACCTAACTATCCATCTTGGCCAGACGGGACCGCACTAGCTAGCCAATCAGAGAGCAGCGCGACCAGGATGTTTGACCTCTGAAGGGACTCCTCCCCTATTACCTAATCCATTAACAAATCCCTCCTGCCTTTTTAATAGTCATAATTTCTGCTGTGTAATCAGCATCATTACACTATCAATTTGTCAGTCTTGTCTTACTAAGTTGCTGGTTCCTCTTGGAACCTAGCCTACTTCTGAGGGGCATCAATCCTCAATAATGCCTATACTTGGATGAGAGGTGGTCTGAGTGTTCTTTGAGATGGTGCCACCCACCATCATGGTGCTACACACCATGAAACTGCAACTAGATGGCCCTGGTGCCCTGGCACCTGGGATATGTCCACCCCTGCTCTAGACAGGTCCACATGCTCAGTACTGTCTTCAGTCTGACTCTTTCTGGTACTATTGCTTGTGGCTCTTGAGCTCTGAAGTTGGTCAGTTTGCTGCTAGAGAGGCCAAGGTTATAGGTACAATCCCCACCTGGGCTAGAAAACTAAAGAAAGTGTGTTTCCTTCTGTTCCGGGGCCCCATACTGCATTCTTGGCCCCACTCTTCCATATCTGTAATTCAGAAGAGGCCTGAGTGACAGGCTACAGAGAGGTCACACATCCTACTCCAGATGCAGAGAAAGCAACTCAGCTTGAGAAATCCATCTAAACGCACATAGGTCCGACCAAAGCTATGTCAGGTGCACAATTTTTGCATATGATGATAACTAAGTATTATTTTTCTCTACTGTTCAGTACCTTCTTTGAACTGAGAGATCGATTCATTATTAAGCCAGGGCCTCCACAAATCTGCCACTTGGTTGTATATATTGTTCCTTCCAGCTGGAAACTGGTTTTTGGGATGGAAATCATGATTTCCCAAAGCAGCGTAGACTTTCGTTTCTAGGGAGAAAATACAAAGTGAAAATGGAGAACGTTCTTAAACGTCGTTCTTAAAATTATCTTCACTAAAGAGGAAAAGAGATAATGTGGATGCCTGAACTATAGATGTAATAAAAAACCAACCCATTTTATCAATCTGTCTTGGCTCTCCCCCTCTCCCCTCCTCGCAGTGACTGAGGAAGCAGTGGCTGGTTTGTGTTTTATGGGAATTATGTTCCTTCGCCTTGTCCATGCTCTACTTGAATAATAGTAGTAATAAAAATAGCTAGCATTTATACCACTTCACTTATTTAGATAGCAAACTTTAAGTTTGCAAAGCATTTCACATATATTATTCTACTGTGGTTCCTTTTTTTTTGTTAGTACAATATAGAAATGTTGATTCTTGCTGATTAATTTTGCATCCAGCTATCATTTTGAGACTTATTCTCTGGAGTTTTGTAAATATATTATTATATTATATTATCTTCAGATGGAGACCATTTTATACATGATCATTTAAAGGGGCAGCAGGGGTGGGGTGGCCACTGAGGACTAAAGGAAGCAACTCAAGCTTCCCATGGGAGGCAGCACCCCAGCTGAGCTTCCCAGGAAGCCAGGGATCCTGAAAGGCAGAAGGCAGGAGGGAGGGCAGTCTAGGTATCGAGGCGCGGGGGAGCCTGTGAAAAGGCATGGAAGCTGGAAGATGGACTTCCATGTACAGGGAAGAGAAGGAGTTGTTTGTCCTTCATTCTCGAAGAGGACCCTGACATCAGGAAGGTGATGCCATGACGTGCAAGTGAATTGGATTTAAGTGAGGCAGGGCTGTGCAAGGTCACTGGCCTCACTTTCTCCTCCGGAGCCATCTTCGTCCAGTAGCCAGATACGGATCAGGACAAATGGAGATGGCCCTGGATGCAGTGGGAGACCTTGGCCTTTTTAAGCTAAGGTCTTTTCTAGGTCTCAGTTTGACTGATTGGGGAGAGAAGGCAAGACAGTTTGGCTGGAACACTGGCCCTGGAGTCAGAAGGACCTGAGTTCAAATCTAGCCTCAGACATTTACTAACTGTGTGACCCTGGGCAAGTCACTTAACCTCGATTGTCTCTCCCCCTCCCCCCACACCCCCCAAAAAAGACACCAGTTAGAAGACCCTGAGTTCTGGTCATAGTTTCAACATTCACTCTGCCTGAAAAAGCCACAATTGGTGCCTTTGCTTCTCCATTTCAAAAATGACTATAATAATCGCTGACATCCAGAAATGTTCTGAACTCCTCAAAAGCAAGATGGTAGATGTAAGCTTCTAACCAGAGGGGCCAAGTTCACTGATAAAACCTCAAGCCTTTACTCAAGGAAATCTTGTACCTTCCACTTCCTACCTCCTTGGGTAAAGTCAGGGAAAACTAAAGTAAGAACAGAATGCGCAACCTTGGAATAATTTGGACAGATGAGGAGGAAATGGACACTGAACATAAAGTTTGAACCCTTACCCACAACAGCTGTGATTTATACATATATACATACATATACATATATATATATATATATAGAGAGAGAGAGAGAGAGAGATGCGTACCTACCTTAGTAAACACAGAAAAATACACATATATACATAAACATACATGTATATATGTATGTGTACACACACCTGTATATGTACATGTTGTGTCTCACTGGGTAATCTCAGCAGAATCTGATGAGATGGGTTCAATTATTTCTGTGGAGATGATTCCTGTATCCATTTATCCAGCCTAGAGAGTTTTCCCTTTTGTCTTTCTATGCCCAACATCTAGCAGAGGGCCTGGGATATAGTAGCTGCTTAATAAATATTTGATGAATGAATGATTGATTGATATAAAGAAAGAAGAGAAAGGGCTTTGACCATAGAAGGGTATATCAATGGACCGCACTGTCCATCAGCAAGGAAGCTTCCTGAACTTGTCACATCACATACGGATCTCAAATGAGCAGCTGGAGCTGACCTCTCCTGCCGCAGGTGCTTCAGAAACCCTGGGGTCATGTTGGGTCTTCCTTTTCAAGATAAACATGGTTCACCTGTTTTTTCCCAACTACACTGCAAGTATCTTGTGGAAGTTATGACATCATGCTGATTGAGTCTACTACAAATTTATGCTAGCTAACACCCCCCCCTTACTATACAACAAGGCAATCCCACTCCTCTTCTCTGATTTCCCATCTTATGCAGAAGCTGTTCCAAACACTTTCTCCTCTCCTCCTACCTCCTAGACCACTCCCTCCACAAATCTTCTCTCTCTCTCTCTCTTTTTTTTTAAGCAATTGGGGTTAAGTGTCTTGCCCAGGGTCACACAGCTAGTAAGTGTCAAGTGTCTGGTCTGAGGCTGGATTTGAACTCAGGTCCTCCTGACTTCAGGGCCGGTGCTCTATCCACTGTGCCATCTAGCTGCCCCTCCAAATCTTCTCTATTGAGGACCTCACCTCATACTTCAACAAAAAAGGGCCACCAAACTCTGTCATCTCCCCTCCTCCTCATCCCACATCTCTCTGATGTCATCTCCCACGCTTGCCCTCTTCACACCAGTTCCTGATGGTAAGGTGGTCCTTCATTCATCAAGGCCAACTTTTCTTTGACCCTGTTCCCTCCTGTCTTCTCCAGCAGATTGTCCACATTATCATCTTTACTCTCTTTCTAATCTTCAATCTCTCCCTGACTACTGGCTCCTTCCCTACTGCCTACCAAAACACCCAAGTATCCCCTGTTACCAAAACAAAAACACACCTCTCACCTCCCCTTCTCAACTAAACTCCTTGAGAAGTCCATCTAAACCAGTGAGGTGGCACCACAGATAGAGCACTGGGCCTAGAGCCGAGAGTTCAAATCCAACCTCAAACTCTTGTTAGCTGTGGGATCCTGGGCAAGTCACTTAAACCTCTATTTGTCTCAGTTTCCTCAACTGGAAAATGGGGATAATATCAGTACCCGCCTCATAGAATTATGAGAATCAGACAAGGTAATACTTATAAAGTATCCGGCACATAGTCGGCTCTACATAAATGCTTATTCCTTTCCCTTCCATTCCCCTTCTCTTTCACTCTCTCTCTCTACAATGTGATCTGCTAGTGCCACAAGATTACTCTCCCTCTAGGCTGCATGTATTTTTTGTGCCATCCTTTGTATAGTAGCTTGTCTCTCCCATAAGTTCCTTGAGGGCTCAGACTATTTCACTTTTGTCTTTGTATTTGTAACGCTTGGCACAGTGTCTAGCATACAGTAGGTGCTTAATAAATGTTTGCTGATTGATTGTGGGAAGGAACCTTTCATCTAACTCTTTTGTATCCCACAGAGCCCCCAATTTTCCATTAAAACCTTCTTCCCATGCCTCATCATGGCATAGAGGAGACTATGGTCTTGAAGGCTATTCCAATAATGCAGAAGCTTTAACAGCTCATGCTAAGGTGGCCCTGAGGACATGCTGGTGAAGAACAGGGGAGCAGAAGACCGCCTTCCACCAATGATAATTTTATTTTATTTAGTTTGGCCATAGCAAGTTATGAAAATGGCCTGCTAAGGCATAGGGTGGGTACATGCATATGGGGAAGAAGTCATGCGTATCCTAAGGAAATCGCAGGTCTGTGAAACATACAGCCAGTGTGCAAAAACAAACCCTGTCCTCAATAAGTAGTATTCATTAATTGGTTGAATCATACCTGGGAATACTAATCGAATGAGCTCCGTCAAATGTTTCACTATTTTCAACACAGCTTCTTCTCCCAGTTTCTCGTTAGGGACGTGAGGCGTGTCATCGCTGCAAAGTCACACCAATGCAGAATGTAAGATCAGAGGGACGGAAGGCATTTCTATGGAAAGGATGGGGAGCCTGAGATAATAAACTGTGTAGCCCATTATGGTGGAGATACTATGGTGGAGAAAAGGCCAATGTTTACTCAACTAGGGCCCATTGATTCAGAGAAGAAAACACATGGGGCATACCAGTCTTATTCCCTAGAATCCCAGGAATCTGGCCTCAACTCAGGACTCTGATTAAGAGCTGAGTTACCCCAACTTGGCTCAGGAATGTGAGAACTGCCTCAGGAATTCCCAAGGCCCCTCCCCTCCTCATCTGTCCTAGACACTACCAACCCAACCACCATTTACTGAGTGCTTATTATGGGCCAAGTACTGTGCTAAGCACTTGGAACACAGAGAGGCAAAAACAATCCCTGCCTACAATCTAATGAATTCCAGGGTTTTAGATGTACCAGAGAGTAGGCCTCAGACACAAAGGGGCATTTTTGGTTTGGTTTTTATTTTTTCCATGATATCATTCTGACTCTAAACCCCAAAACTAACCTAATTTCTCAGAACTGCTGGGTGTCCCTGGCAGACCCAGGAACAGGGAGATGTCCAATCAATCCAAACACCCACCTGCAAGATTACACTGGCATCAGACAAAATGAGGCAGTCCCCTGCCTAGACACACAAAAGACAAAATCAAAGGGGGCGCTTGATTACCAGGACACAAGAACCCATGGCGGTTTCTTTGTTCCTTGGAAGACCCAAAATTCCAAAGGTGAACGTGAAATACAATCTTCTCTACTTCTAGGGTGAGCTCGAAAGTGTCTTCCTGCTTCAGATCCTATGATTTCTCGGAGGAATCACAGATTTCCCAGAATGATCATGACTATAAGAGATTCAAGGATGTTTTCAGGAGGATTACTCCCCTCAGTACAGCCTCGTTGGTTAAGCAGGACTGAGCAGGGACAGCCAGTGAAGCCTGGAGTACAAGATCTCTCTGCTGCCCACGGGCTGCCTTTCCTGAAGTATCTCATTTTAGACAATTCCACACTGCTATCCCTCCCATGGCTACCTTTAAATTACATCTGAGGTCTAACCCTCATCGCTGCCATAAGCATAGATGGAGTTATTTGTGCAGTTGATTCCATCCTCTTACTGGACTGTAAGCTCTTTGGCTGTGCCTGGAGTCAGGAAAACCTGATTTCAAATCCAGCCTCAGTCACTGGCTGTGTGACCTTGGGAAAGTCACTTAACCTCTGTCTGTCTCAGTTTCCCCATCTATAGAATGGAGATAATAACAGCACCTACTTCCCAGGTGTTTTTGTTGTTGTGAGGATGGAGTGAGATAATATTTATAAAGTACTTGGCACAGTGTTGGGCACAAAATAGGCACATGATACGCTTCTCCTCTCCTTTCCTTTTCCTTCCCTTCCTTCCTTCTTCCCCTTTTTTCCTTCCCTCCCTTTTTCCCTCCCTCCCTCCCTTCCTTGCAAGGACTACAGATTATTCATTTCTGTATGCAGGCACTACAGCTCACTGTGCAGAAATCACTATGAAGATAGGATTGGTGCCCCATCTAATCTTTATTTCCTCTGAAGCTAAATGCAGTCCTGTGGACCCCAGGCAAGAATAGCAGCATTTGAAACCTTCCTAGCCCAGGTCCTTCCTACCTTTCCATTCTTTTTACACCTTACTTCTCAACACATATTTTTCAGTCCAGTGACACTGGCCTCCTGGCTGTCCCATAAACAAGACCCTCCATCTTTCAGCTCTGGGCATTCTCTCTGGCTGTCCCCCATGCCTGGAACACTCTCCCTCCTCTGCTTTGACTACTGACCTCTCTCCTTCAAGTCCCAAGTAAAATCTCACCTTCTACAGGAAGCCTTCCCTGACCCCTTCTTAATTCTAGTATCTTCCCTCTGTTAATTACTTCCTATTGATCCTGCATATAGAATGCTTTGGATATATTTGTTTTCATGTTGTCTCTCCCATTAGATTGTAAGCTCCTTGAGGGCAAGACTGTCTTTTGCCTCTTTTTTGTATCCCTAGTGCCCAGTACAGTACCTGGAACATAGTAGGTGGTTAATAAATGTTTATTGGTTGGTAGGTACTTAGTGAGTGCTTCATTGGCTTGAAGCTGAGATAGTCATTGAGTTATACAAGATGGGCACGAAAAGTCCCTTGGGCTCTAACACACTGTGGCTGTGTTGCTAAGACTCCAAACTAAGATGGTGAATTCAGCATGTCTGTTAAGGAAGAGGTTCTCACCCAGTCCAGAGAATGAAGTCCGGGCTGGGCAAGAGTGCCTTCATGGCATAAATGGAAGAGTTGATGAGGATCCAGGGTGCATCACAAAGATAATCCCCCCACACACCTGCACTGGACACGGGCTGGGAACCTGCTGATGGACACACCTGTAGTGGATCACCAGAGGCGTTATACTCTGGGTCGAGGTGCAGGTCTGAGATGTGCCAGAATTGACCTGTGGGAGACAAAATCAATCTCTTATGGTCAGTCCTCTTTCTTCCCCTGGATACAAATCCATGAATGAATGAATGCTTGTGTATGAACAGGTCTCTGCGCATATGCACACAGTGGGGTTGGTACAGCACTCACATACAGACAGTTCTCACTTGATGTGAATTCACAGTACACAAACTGGACTTTACCTGAAGAATTCTGCATTCCAAAAAAACCACCTGTATTAACTTTACTGTACAGTATTGTGCTCTCTTTCTGCTCCTACCGCTCCACTAGGCACTCCTCAGTCTCCCCACCCCCCCAAAAAAACCAAACCAAACAAACCCTCCAAGTAAAAGCAGAGGAATGCTGCAGCAGGATTGGGGCTTGGCTTGAGACCTCCCACTGAGAGAGGAGACCTTTGCTTCACTCTGCCTCTCCCCCAGACCCCAGATGCCTATCTACCTCCAATTGTCCTTGGCCCCTACATCTCCTTGAACCATGTACCAGCCCTCTACCTCCATGAGTATTGGCCTCCTTCCTGCCTCACTGCCTCCCTCCCTGTCTTCCCTCTGTCTGGGAGCAAATTCTCATCACATAAAAAAATCACTTTACTGGAGGTCTCCTGACTCGTTCACTTACACAAAGGGAGAATTGTCTGTATTACTGGATCGCTACACAAGGTGTAACTGCTGAAAGCTGATTGTTGGATTTTCAGCGTGAGCAGTTACACCTCGGAAATCAGGAAACATACAAATCAGGCATTTATACATTGTTTTGTTGGTTGTCTAGACTTAAGAAAATGATGGAGTAAAATGTTGTAATGCCAATTAAATTTAAAAGTCTGTCGTATTTTTTTGGGTGGGGAGCTGGTCATTAAATACTTACTAGCACTTTACAAATATCTTATTTAATCCTCACAGCAATCCTGTGAGGCAGGTGCTATTATTATCCTCATTTTACACATGAGGAAACTGAAGCAGTTAGAGATTAAATTACTTGCCTAGGACCATATAGCTCTTAAGTATCTGAGGATGAATTAGAACTCAGGCCTTCCAGACTCCAGTCCAGCACTCTATCTATTGTGCTACCTAGCTACCTCTAAAAAGTAAATGCATGGTAGGGACTCATGAGCTATGATTTTTCAGTGAATATGGATCTGTAAAGCACTTTGAACTTGGTATAGCTATTCTAGGACTCCTCATATGTCAGTGTGAAAATTATGCCTCACATGCTATATAAACACTATATAAATAAATACCCATTTTTTACATAGTTCATATGACGTTTGAAATCAATGAAAAAACATTTATTGCATTTACTTTGTGTCAGGTACTGTGTTAAATTCTGGGGATTCACATATAAAAGAGAAATAGCCTTTGTCCTTTAGGGGTGACATCCTAATAGTAGAAGACAATGCATGTAGGTGGCCAGAGATGAGTGCTATGGTCTGGGAAGTCACGGGGATGGTGAGTGGGGCGATAGAGGAGGCTAATTATGATGCTCTTTCCAGAAGCAACAGTAATGTTGATTTGCTTACTATACTCAGAGTAAGAGGTGGCAAGGGGATTGTATGCCTGCCACAGGGCAGATGGTATAGTCAGGGTCAGGCAGAGTTGGCCATCTGGATGCTGTTAGATATAATGGGCTGGGTGAGTTTGTGCTCTGACATCCCCAATCAGAGCAGAAATTCCAAAGCTGAGTAGCTGAGATTTGGTCTTTGGAGGTCCTGGCAGGGAGATGAGAGAGAATGGGGGATAGTCTATGCAAATACACAGACGCTGGATATAGACTGATATAAATGGGGAACCTCAAATAGGCAAGTTTGGGTGGATTGTAAAGCAAATGAGAAAGAAGAATGTGAAATTAATCAGTCAACGAGCATTTATTAAGCATTTCGCTTTGCACCAGTTAACCTGCAAAGTGATGATGATACAAAGTAAACACAAGAAGAATCCTTGCCCAAGGCTGCTACATCTGTTAAAGACAAATAAGAAGTAACGGAATGTAGTCTTAGAAAGGGTCCATAAGGCTCCTACTAGTTTCTTCCTACTATCATGAGAAGAGAACTAAATTTTGAATCAGAGGAGATGGGTTTGAATCTCAGATGTGGTATTTATTGCCTAGATTTTGGGCAAATCAATTAACCTCTCTGGGGCTCAATCTCCTTGTCTTTAAAATGAAGGTGGGAGAAGGGGCTTAACTTAGGATCCTATGAACTAGAGGATTTTAAGGTCCCTTGAAACTCTAAATTCCATGATTCTATGATCCTTGGTATGGGCAGGTAGGTGGCTCTGTGGATAGAGTGCTGGCCTGGGAGTCAGGAAGACCTGAGTTCAAATACTCTGGGCAAGTCACTGAACCCTGTTTGCCTCAATTTCCTCATCTACAAAATGAGCTAGAAAAGGAAACAACAAACCACTCCAGTGTCTGCCAAGAAAACCGCAAATGGGTATCAGACACAACTGAAAAACAACTGAACAACAACAACAGAAATGACCCTTGGTAATCTGGATGAATGAAGTGAGGGGTTTTTGAGGGGGGGATGGGAAGAGACATGAACATGTTTGTAGGCAACAGGAAAATAGCCAGCAGTCATGAAGAGATTGAAGTGAGAGATGAGGAGGAGGAGGAGGATAAGGATGAAGATGATGATCACAGGCCAGCCTGCGATGCGCCAGGCACTATGCTAAATACTTTGTAATTATGATATCATTTTAGTCTCACAACAACCCTAAAAAATAAGAGAGTGAGGATGATAAAGGGGGTGATGTGCTGGAGGAAACAAGATTGAACAAGATCATTTGTGCAGCCACACCTTCTCTCAACCTCTGCAGATGACTCCCAAGTCTATATATACCAAGGGGCTGCCTCTCTCTCTGATGCAGTTTAGGGGTTCAGGAATCCTGGGACCCCCAAAATCACAACACACAAGTCCTTCCTGAAAGAATTCGACCCCTGCCTTCTTTCAGCCAAAGACAAGGTTTATTAGAACATAAACTAGCAGCTAGATTACAAGAATCTAAGCAGTGGCTAGATTTTTGGAATCTGAACAGTGGCTAGATTGTAAGAATCTGAGCAGTTTAATGGAGACAAGGTGGACCTTATATACAGAAAGACTGTGGGAGGGACCTAGGAGTGGCCAGTAAGCTGGGGGTGAACAGAGCTCCAGGGAACCAGGACCTGGAGGCCAAGGGAAAATGGAGCCTAGCTAGGATTAAGGGTGGGAAATGGCCAGGGGCCATATATAGGGAGGTAAAACAAAGGAAGGCCAGGGCTAGGTTAAAGGTAATAGAATTGGGAGATTGGGTATAACCACAAGGAAAGGCCAGTTGATGCGATTATAGCCTCGGGCAAATGCCAGAGATTTGGCCAAGTGGGAAAGTCCAAGGTTTTTCCTTTCTGGGGTTTAGATCCCAACCTCATCATCTCTATGAGTCACAGTCACAGTGGGCTCCTCTCACTAACATCTAAGCTGGAAGCTCTACCCCATCTCTTCTTTTTGGAAATCTCTCAGAAACAGCCCAGAGGGATTTGTATAACTTAGTTACGGTGTTCTTGACTAGATCAGCACTTCTCTTTTGTTTTTGTGGGTTATCTTTATCAATATTTGCCATATTAGAAATTAAAACAAAATTTACAAAGATTTAATTCATTAAAATAACAACAGTAAACTTATTACTATTCACATTACACATTAACATAAATAACATATTTTTATGAAAAATAGCTATATTTTACAAGAAAAAATAGTGAGAAGAGGAGCACTGACTCCTGACCTCCCTGGTTTCCTTTAAGTCCCAACTAAAATCCCATCTTCTACAGGAAGCCTTCCTCAATCCCTCTTAATTCCAGGGCTTTTCCTCTTTTAATTATTTCCTATTGGTCCTGTACACAGATTGTTTTGTATATATTTATTTGCATATTGTCTTTCTCATTACATTGTAAACCCCTTGAAGGAAGGCTTTTCAAAGTCAAACTAGTATGTCATGGCATCACCTCCTTGATGTTATAAACAAACAACAACCACCTCTGTGAGTACTGGAACTGGCCAGTTGGGCAACACAGCTCTTTCTTTTTCTTCCTTCCCTCCTTCCTTCCTTCCTTCCTTCCTTCCTTCCTTCCTTTCTTCCTTCCTTCCTTCCTTCCTTCCTTCCTTCCTTCCTTCCTTCCTTCCTTCCTTCCTTCTTTCCTTCCTTCCTTCCTTCCTTCCTTTCTTCCTTCCTTCCTTCCCTTCCATCTGTCCACATAGGGTATCATACCCTTACCTGAATATACTCTGCCCACAGGAATGTAAATTTTGATCACTGAAACCTTGCATGATATCTTGGGGTTTACAGGTTTTTCCTTTCTTCCTCTATAGCTATAGAAAAAGAAAGATAAGTTTTTTTGAAAAAAGGTGTAAGGATATCTCTCCTATCTCCAAACAATTCAGTGATGACCTAGGCTGAGAAACACTGGAAAGAGAAGGGTCCATGAACTGACCCAGAATAGAAAAACAGTGCTATTTGAGTGATCCAAGAAAGCGGCACCTTCATGGCCACATGAAGAGATCCTTTTGAGGAAGTTTGCAGGATCCAGGGATAAAACAGCAAAAAATTTAAATAGGCCAGAAGTGTTTTATATTCTCAAGTTAGAGGGGAAAAAAATGCTATTAACACAATCAGGGGAGATTCCAGCATTAATTAACTCCACCTGGGGTCCAACTGCTCAAGAGCTGGTACCTGAAGAAGAGGTAACTAGTACATTCTGTTGGAAGAGAGCCAAATAGTGGGGAACAGCACAGCAGAGCCAAGGATGATGACTTCGGTGAAAAGCACCATGATGCCTGCCAGGGAATGGAGGAATGAGAGTATCTAGTAAAAGACAAATGAGGTACAGAGCTCTGCCCCTTTGCTGATGTCCCACCCAGGGTAGTCACAGTAGCTACAGTTTCCTAAGGGGTAAAGGAGACCCCTTTCCCCCCAAGAGGGCAAAGGGTCTCAACCCTCTATGGGCTGAGACATGAATGCTTTTTGAGTCCTTTATTATGCGAACTAGACTGCTTTGTTTTGAAGCCTCGTGAGCCTAAGTACTTTTAAGGGGAGCTGACTGCCTGAATGGTTTTCAAACAGTTCACTGGACAATTGTTCAAAATTGGAGCTGTGAATCAGTACAATTATTTGGAAAGCATTTTGGATTATTCAAATAAAGTGACTAAAATCTCTATATCCTTTGATTCAGGGAGTCCATTACTAACTTTACATCCCAAGGAGGCCTTTGATAAGAAAGCTCCTATCTACATCAAAATATTAATAGTAACACTTTTTATGATAGCAAAGATTTGGAAACAAAGTATATGCCCATCAAATGGGAAATAGCTAAACAAACTGTGGTTTATGAATGTAATGGAATATTGCTACGCTGTAAGAAATGATTATTGTAATAAATACAGAGAAGTATGGAAAAATCTATATGAACTGAAGCAGAGTGAAGTAAGTAGAGTGGAGAAAATAACATATACAATGACTACAACAATGTAAATGAAAAGAAGAAATACACACAGAAATCAAAAGTGAATGTTGCAAAATTATACAGAACAAGCATGATTTAAAAAAAGAGATATGAGAAATCACTCCCACCCACCCCCTATGCAGAGGTGAGAGGTTCATTAGTAAAAGCAAACAGTGTTAGAGACTCATGAGCTATGGTTTTGGGGTGTCTTAAAAATGAGTTGGCTTTTCTGAGTGACCATGTGAATTTGTACCTACTTCCAAATTATACCTCAGGTGATCATGTATGGCTCCCTATGCCCACTGCAGGGAGGTGTTCTAGGAGAGAGGTTGACTGGGATCCCCAGTAGAAAGAACTTTGAGATATGAGACTTGAACCTAGTTTGGGCTATCTGGGTAACTTTGGGTGAATCATGGCCTCCCCTGGATCTCAGTAGTCAGTCAACACACATTTATTAAGTGCTTACTAGGTTCTAGGCACCATGCTAAGTAAGAACTAGGGATACAAGAAAAGGCCAAAAAATCACGTTCAAGGAGCTCACATTCCAATGGGGGAGAAAAATGCAAACAACTATGTGATATAAATATATATGTATGTGTATGTATATGTGTATGTATGTATATATCTATATAACAGTTTTTCTGTAGATATATATTCATATACATATATACAAATTATATATATTATATTTATATGCATATTATAACCTTCCATCCATATATATTACCTATATATAGATAGCTCTATAGAGCTATCTATATCTCTAGATTTATTTATCCAGGGGCAGCTACGTGGCACATTGGATAGTCAGGAAGACTCATCTTCCTGACTTCAAATCTGGCCTCAAACACTAGCTGGGTGACCCTAGGAAAGTCACTTCACCCTCTTTGCCTCAGTATCCTCATCTGTCAAATGAACTGGAGAAGGAAATGCAAACCATTCTAGTATCTTTGCCAAGAGAACCCCAAATGGGGTCACGGAGAGCTGGACCTGACTGAAAATGACTGAGCAACAATAATATCAGAGCTGACATTTATAAAGTGTTTACTACAATAACATTATATAGATCTATCTATCTACCTATCTACCTATCTATCGAGTGAATGGAAACATGGAAGGTAATCTCCAGGGAAGCCACAAGCAGTAGGGGGAAGGAGGAAGAGAGGGAGGTCTAGGAAAGATCTTCAGCCTAATGTAGGATTTGATTTGAACCTTGAAGAAACTAGAAAGTAGAAGTGAGGACGGAAAACATTCCAGGCACGGGACAACCAGAGAAGAGGCAGTGGTGTGCAAGGACCAGCAAGAAGGTCAGTGTAGCTGGATCATAGAGTGTGTGGAGGGGAGTAAAGGGTAAGAAGCCTGGGAAGACAGGAAGCAAGGTCCTATCAAGCTCTAACCCATCAATCTGTCAACATCTTCACATGGCTCTACATGTACTGCAAAGGTGCCAGAGAAACACAAGGGGGCAGTATATCTCTAAAGAAAATAAGGATTTCGAGAACAACCCCAACCAAAGAGTGCACGTTTTCTTGGAGACTGACTTTTTGGTGATGTGTAGGAGCCGAATGCGTGAGAAGACAGCAATGATCTAGTTTTGTGGGGCATAGAGTCAGAAAGACCTGAGTTCAAATGCAGCCTCAGACACTTAGTAGCTGGGTGACCCTGGGCAAGTCACTTCACCCTGTTTGCCTCAGTTTCCTCATCTGTAAAATGAGCTGGAGAAGGAAAGGGCAAACCATTCCAGTATCTTTGTTAAGGAAACCCCAAACAGGGTCACAAAGAGTCAGACATAACTGAAAACAACTGAACAACAAAGGAGCAGAATGAGTGAGAAGAGAGAAATGATCCCGTTTTTCCTCTGGTAGCTTTAATTCCTCTCTGCTGAGCCTTGGCAGCACCAACCACAGTGACCTCATTATCTTCTCTGCTGAGATTCCTTAGTACTCACACCCCCTGAAGGCAGATGAGTGGAAACCACACTTTGGAAGGGGCTCATTAGTAGCTAGAAAATCTATTCTGGTTCCTTTTTTTACTCCTAAATTCTGCTTTTATGCAAATCAACTCTTGGTCACATGAAGAAATAAATAATGACAGACTCTGCTCCAGTTTTAGTTTCTAGCCACAAAGGAAATCCCACTATTTTCAGTTTTAAAAAAGACTTCTGGGATTGCCTGGAGGCAGCCAGGTGGCTCAATGGATAGAGCACTGGTCCTGGAATCAGGAAGACCTGAGTTCTAATCAGAACTTTGTTGTCAGGATCAAATGAATTAATATTTTTAAAGCACTTTGCAAACCTTAAAGCACTATGTACATTCTATTAGCTCTTATTATAGTATCTGATGTATTGGTTTTTCCTCTTGATTTGTTTTTCCTCTTGATTTGTTTTCTTGATTTTATTTTTTGTTATAAGGGATGGTTCTTTGGCAGCGAAAGGTATATACTGGAAAATGTAGAAGATATAAAAACACAAGATATCAAAAATAAAATAAAATAAGAGGATTAGACTAAATTGGGTTCTTCATCTGGGGTCTGTGAACTTGTTGCCTTTAACTTTTTTTATAACTATATTTCAATAAAGTTAATTTCCTTTGAAATCTGAGGTATTTTATTTTATACATTAACATACATGATTCTGAGAAGGGAGAAGGGAGGCTTCAGACAGTCACCAAAGGAATCTATGACACAAAACAGGTTAAGCATACCTGGACTACATGGTCTCCATGGTCACTGCAGCTCTAATACTCTATGACAATAACACTTCAACCTTTTGGTCTCAGGACCCCTCTACACTCTGAAAATTTATTAAGGGCCTCAAAAGGCTTTTGTTGATGTGGACTATATCTATTGATATTTACTATACTAGAAATTTAAATGGACAAATTTTAAAATATTTATTATTTTAAATAAAATAACAAACCCATTATATGTTCATACACGGGACATACATTTAGTGTAAAATAATCATATTTTCTGTGAGAAGAGTGACATCGTTTTACATATTTTTGCACATCTCTTTAATGTCTGGCTTAATGGAAGACAGCTGGATTCTGTATTCAATCTGTTGTAATAAGTTGTTTTGGTTGAAGCATATGAATATCTTGCTTCACACAAATATGTAGTTGGAAAAGGGAGAAGTATTTAAATAGGCACATAACATCTTAGAATTATTATGAAAATAATTTTGTCCTTGTAGGCCTCCTGAAAGGGTCTCAGAGAGTCCCGGGGGTGGGTAGTGAATCTGTGAATCTCTGAGAACCGTTGAACCACAAATTAACCTTGAATCAAGTTCGAGTCATAAAGCTCCACACACAACCTTTCCTATTGCCTTCTGCATCTGAGCAGAACACGTTCCCTGACTGCATCCTGGCTCTTTCAATCTGGTGGCAACTTAACTCCCATCCCTTGCTTTTTGTTCTCAGTAACAAAGATCTGGGCTATGCTCATCGTTTCTCACTCACACAGCTAGCTGTCTCCTTGCTCTCCAGTCTCCAGATCAACAGACATCACTACTAATTGATCTTTCTTTTCTCTCTAGGCTCTGTGACCCATCAGTTCTAGATACTTCCTCAATACTTCAAAAGATCCATCATTTCTTTTTCTATGTGGGTATCCCCTTCATTGGTATAAACCATAATCTTTTCTTATCCCAGCACATGGTTTCCTGAGTTGACATGGTCAAAACCCTCCAAACATTCATTACCTACTGGCCAGGTGATGACCTCTCTGCAGTCAGCCCAACTGGTTTTTAGACAACCAGAAGCCTTCCTTCCCAGCATGATTAGACCTATCAGGACTCATCCTTCACTGCAACAGCTTTGGAGAAGCCAGGATTGCCTTCATGCCACAATGAGGCATTGGAGGAGGATTTTTGAGGAGGCACAATTTCCAAACACAATATTCCTCTTCCCAGCTTTTTGACTTCGGAATTCTGCCTCTTTCTAAATTTAACATCAGCTCTAATATCCTTAAGTACTCCTTTTTTTGGAAGCAGCCTGGAAAGGCAGATCCCCAATTGAGAGAGATGGATTGTACAAGTGAAAGATCACCTTCCATTTATTGCATTACCTGGAACAGCCCCTGCGACTCTCCAGTTTATCAGGAAAAGCAGAAACTTCAGGCATCTCATGCTTTCGAGTTCTCCTCTGAAAGTCTTTCACTTTTCTAGGATCTTTTCAGATCTCAGATCTTAGTTTACTCTGGAGGTGTTGAAACTAGTCAGCAGAACTTTCTGTTCAGTCCCTGGTACTCTGAATAATCAGACCACTAATTGGTGAGCTCTTCTTCTAACTTGTAGGGTGTGTACGGGGCGGACCCGGATGTGTAGGTAGGCTGGGAAGGCAGAGAATTCAAAGGAAAAGGTACTTTGTACTTTGTACTTCATAAGGCCTGTTCTTCAAGATACTCCAAATGTACTTGTACTCCTGAAAAATGCATAAACCAAGTACATCTTAGTTAAAATCACCTTTAGAAATGTATTAGTTATGTGACTTATAATGATGACTGAGATTATTTCCCCTCAATCTTCATTATAAGTAAGGTTGATAATAAATAATAGCACCCACCTTTTAGAGTTGTTGGGAAAATAACACGAATACAACATTCATTTTTTAAAATAAGATTTTGTTTCAATTTTTTTCTCTCTCCCTCTCTCCCATCCCCCCCTCCCCAAGACAGCAAACAATCTGATATAGGTTATATATGTGCAATCATGTAAACATATTTCCACATTAGTCAAGTTGTGAAAGAAGAAACATAACAAAAGGGAAAAGCCAAAAACCAACAAAATAACAACAACAACAACAACAAAGCCCAAATAGTACACTTCCGTCTGCATTCAGACTCCACAGTTCCTTCTCTGGGAGGTGGACGCCATTTTCCATCATGAGTCTTTTGGAATTGTCTTGGATCATTGTATTGCTGAGAAGAGCTAAGTCAATCCTCGTTGATCATCACGTGCTGTTGCTCTTACTATGTATTTTTCTGGTTCTGCTCACTTCACTCAGCGTCAATTCATGTAAGTTTTTCCAGGTTTTTCTGAAGTTTTCCTGCTCATCATTGCTTATAGCGCAATGGCATTCCATTATATTCATATGCCACAGCTTGTTCAGCCATTCTCCTATTATGCTGCTGTAAATATTTTTGCACATGTAGGGCCTTTTCCCTTTTTTAGGATCTCTTTGGGATACAGACCTAGTAGTGGTATTGCTGGATCAAAGGGTATGCAGTTTGATTACCCTTTGGGCATAGTTCCATATTCCTCTTCAGAATGGCTAGATCAGTTCATAACTCCACCAACAATGCATTAGTGTCCCAATTTTCCCACATCTCCAATATTTACCATTTTCTTTTTCTGTCATATTAGCCTACCTGATAGGTATGAGGTGGTACCTCAGAGGTGTTTTAATTTGCATTTCTCTAATCAATAGTGATTTAGAGCATTTTTTTCATGGACTATAGATAGCTTTAATTTCTTCCTCTGAAAACTGCCTGTTCTTATCTTTCGACCATTTATCAATTGGAGAATGACTTGCAATAACCTGAATACAAACTACTTAGCATAGTGTGTAAATGTTGACTATGGTTATTGGGTTCTAGATTTCATAAAATATCAAAGGTCATGACAGGAATGGTTTTCTAAGAACTTTCAACTGCATTGCTGTAATTTGACTTCAAATAAGAACCCATTACATTGTTTACTCTTCCATTTTTTTTATATTATGAAATTTTAAAGACCATCGTATCAGAAATATAATTATAGAAGTGAATTATCTTTTAATTAGGTGACTATACTTTTAAATACATGCTGTCATGTGAAATTTTTGTAAAATACTGTGAAATGCTAATAGACAGGTCACTTCTCTATTGAGTTATTAAAATGAATGTGGTGACAGTCTTTGAAAAATTATAATAATGAAGTGCTTTTTGCCTTAACATGCATAATTCTTATGATTTAATAAGAGGTTTGAGCACCCCCCCACCTCTCTAACCAGAGCTGTGATCTCTTGTAACTTCGAAGAACTTATGTTGAGAAAAAGCAATGGTTACTTTGAAATTGACCACACTGATATCATTCATCTAAAAAAGTTTTGTATTTATGAATTGGTTTGCTAAGAGATAACAAAATTATTTAAAACTATTCAAAATTCAGTGGGTTATTATTTCCTCTAACCTCACCTCCTAAAGGGAAAGACTTCAGTCTTACTATTTATAACTTCCCTGTAACATAAGTTACCAAGTGGTTCAAATAATAATTAAGTAATCAAAACCTAAATATTCTAAGGTACTACAGAAGACAAGCCTCTTAGATTCTTTTTGTTTGTTTTTGCCAGGCAATGGGGTTAAGTGACTTGCCCAGGGTCACATAGCTAGTACATATCAAGTGTCTGAGGCCACATCTGAACTCAGGTCCTCCTGACTCCAGGGCCAGAACTCTATCCACTGCACCACCTAGCTGCCCCCCTTAAATTCTTTAACCTTTGATAACTATAAAAAGTCTAGTATATAGTAAGCACTATATAAATTAGTTATTGCTACTTCTTTACTTTACTGTAAATACTCCATACTGGATAACTCTATACTGCATTTTAGATGTCATTGAATGTGATTAGTAAAATAACAAAGGAGATAAGATGAATGATTTTCCCTGTAACATAATTTTTAAATCCATTCTATTGAACTGTTGTATGAAATCTGAAAAAAGCTGTTGGGGCAAGATACCTCCCCTTTTGATCTCAATGCTGTTAAATTACAAATGTATCAGTCATACATGGCAGGTGAAAGAAATGTCTGAGGAAACAAAGGTTCGAGCTTCTAAGCACATTGATTTATTAAGCAATGTGTGCCAATTGCATTACAATTTGGGACCAGGCCTCCTCAGCTTGGCACTGGACCCCAAATATAATGGAAGACAGATTTTTATGTGTTAAGTGATAATAATAAGCAGAATACAAAATTAGGTAATTTGATTTCTAATTGGAAGAAAAATTGGGGGCTTTCCGAGAAAAAGAAGTGTCCTGCTCCCTCCAAGTATCTATAAACAATCAAAGGCACATGGAGACAACTGATTGATCAATACAGGGCCAGTTTTCAGACAAAGCATATAGTTTGCTTGAGATGTGTAATTTTTAAAAAATTTGTTTAATATTTTATTTTTCCCTAGTTACATAAAAACTTTTGAGTTCTAAATTCTCTCTCTTCCTCCCATCCCCACCCCTCCTCATCAAGATAGCAAGCAATTTGATATAGGTTATATATACATCATCGTGCAAAACAGTTCCATATTAGTCATGTTGTGAAAGAAAACATAGACTGAAACAAACAAACCCCCAAACCCTCAAGAAAAAATAAAGTTAAAAAAGTATGCTTCAATCTGTATTCAGTCACTATTGGTTTTTTGTCTGAGGATGGACAGCATTTTTCATCATAAGTCCTTGAGTTGTCTTGGATCATTGTTTTGTGGAGAATGCCTAAGTCATTCCCAGCTGATCATGAGATAATTGTGAGAAAACTTCTTGCATCAATCTTTGGAGCTGACTGAGTTTCTAATCAGCATAGCCTAGGTTCTTAGTTAAGGGACTCTACACAACAGGGAAAGGTGACTCAGCCGCCCAGCCAGGCAGGTAGGTTCAAACAGTGCAATAAAGTTTTCTCACAACTCCCAGAACTGAATAAAGGTTTTTTTTTTAACAAGACAAAAGTTGGACAAGACCCCTAATTAAATAGAAAAGGAACTGAGCTAGTTCCAGAATTAAGCCACAAGACAGAGTCAGAGTGGTTCACTCAATTCCCACAATTCCTTCATACATAATGTGACAAAATGTTTGAAAAGTTAAGTATTAAATATGATATATTTTGTTATAAATTAGAAGATAGTAATAATGATAAATGACTCACTGTTGGGAGAAAAGAATAGCAAAATCCTTTTAAGAGATCTTTGTCTGTTGTGTTCCTTAAGACTTCCTACTTGAACTAGGTCATAAGATTTTACCAACCCCGCAGATAGCATGTTGTGAAATTCTAAAGCACTGCAGTTTAAGAAACTAGGACCTCTCCCAGTCAAAGTGAAAAACTTTACAAGTTAAGCTGTAAATAATGAGTTTCATTTGAGATTTAGGAAATCATAAAAATTGTACATGTTACTAAATAGGATGTAACTTAAATACATATTCTTATGATTGGCAACTTACAGTAGCCACAATTTTCTGGGGGGAGGGCTTCAGGAGACTATTAAGAATTCACTATATTTGTACACTTATCCAACATTTAACCAACTTGCCATTTCAGCCATTTCTTGTAGTAATCCCATCCACTTTACATCCCATTTTAACATCTACACGTTCTTATTGGCAAGCTGTCCTCTAAAACCCCTCTGAAGTAGCCAGATGTACCTTCCCTTCCTTTATTCCATCTACATGGCAGACTAACAGAGGAGTTCTATTATCTAAATGGGGAGTTCTACATCAGAATATTAAAACCTATCACTTACTGTGATGAATTTTTTTCCCCTTCCAACAACTATATTTCTCATATGAAACTTTATCTCTTAATAGTTATGGTAGGATTTTTAACCATTACTATTGATGATGATTGGCACATTAACACAATAATTCTATCAGGCCTAACATATGCTTCATGAAGTTTTGCTATTTAAGGTAAATCTTGTGGGACTTGAACTGATATAATTCTGAGGTTTTTTTATTTCAGGTATACTTGTAAACACAAAGCCAACAATCCACCATTCAAGGGGCCACCATGTGCTGCAATCTGAGGACTGCTACAGGTGGATATTTGCTCTGGGGAGACAGTTGGGGGAACAACCTTGTGAAGGTGAAGGTAAGATCATCTTGACTTGGTTTCCCATCAAGCAACTTCTTTCTCAACAGGAAGTTTTCCCATCTAAATAATTTTGAGCCTGGCTTTGATAACTCTGTGAATAATGTGGAATTTTAATTGGCTGTTAACTATCTCTTTTGCCTGGAATAAAAACAGAGCTAAGGGAGTTTTCCCCTTGTTATGGCTTCTCTATAGCATCATAACCATGTCCCTCCTTTTCCTTTCATGGCAAATTTCTATAATAAAGACTTAAAAATTTGAAGTGTGTGTGCAAATTAAGGCACTTCAGATTATAAAATGGAATCATATTCTAAAGGTTTAGAACACACAATTATTAATATTGAAACATTTTAATTACCTTAATAGAATATAAATATGAAATATCTTCCTTGATTTTCCTCTAGCTTGTAGTTTTATTTGTGTATATAATATAGGAATAATTGGTTGTTGTCTTTCATTCTTGAAGAAGACCAAAATGATATCACTAATGTTGGAGTCAAGGTACAGTGTATCTGACTGTTGCTGATCAGACCAATAAAAGCTACCACAGGTCAGACACAAATAACCCATGTGAACATTTGGAGTGGAC